CTAGCCAGGTAACTAAACGTTTGCAAGAAAACAACCAAGCTCAGAGAACTCCAAGGACTCCACAGACAAACACACATTCTTTTCAGCTTATACACCTCAAGGATGTGGACAATGTATGCTCAACTTTTGTCACTTCTAGCTAATTAAATTGGCCAGGCTGGGATTGGCCCTGTGGTGATAGGAGTCAATTAATATCTCTTTAAGTGAGGGATCTGTTATACAACCTTTATTGAAAAGTCTCCCTGAATTTAGAATATGTTCATAATTATAGGCATCATAGTCACTCATGCCTTAATCATCTCCCATTTGGATTACTGCAACACACTGTACATGGGGCTGCCCTTGAAGACCATCTGGAAGCTGCAACTGGTCCAGAATGCAGCAGCACAGTTTTGGGTGCCATGTGATTCACCCAAGCTACACCACCGCTTCATGAGCTGCATTGGCTCCCAGATGCTTTCTGGATTCAATTCAAGGTGCTGGTTATCACCTCTAAAGCCTTACATGGCACAGGGCCTGGTTATTTATGAGACCATCTCTCCCTGAGGGTATCTGCCTATCTTACTAGGTTAGATAGGCTGGGTGTGCTCCAGGTCCCCTCCCTTAAATGTTGTCACCTGATGGGACCTCAGAAGCTCGTCTTCTTAGTGGCCACCCTAGCTCTTTGGAATAGCCTCTGACCTGAAATCTGAGGGATCCCTACCCTTTAGTCTTCTGGAAGACCGTGAAGACCTGGATCCTCCCTCAAGCATTGGGCTAGGATGGAGGTTGAGCTGGAAAGCTGTTGGTCTGGCATCTGGGGGGAAGGGTGGTTTTGTTTTTATTGCTTGTTGTGTGCTGCCTAGAATCATTGTATGAGATGGGCAGCCATATAAGTTCTATACATAAATACATCTCTAATTTGGTCTGGCATCTGGGGGGAAGGGTGGTTTTGTTTTTATTGCTTGTTGTGTGCTGCCTAGAATCATTGTATGAGATGGGCAGCCATATAAGTTCTATACATAAATACATCTCTAATTTTCCATTATGGGGTAAGGTGATTGAAAAGGTGGTAGATACATCTGGGTTAAATTGACTGTATAAATGCATTTCAATCAGGGTTTCACCTAGGATATGGTACTGAGACTATACTGGTTGTGGATGACTCATGCTAGAAGTTAGATGCAGGGAGTGCAGCCTTGTTAGTTCTCCTGGATCTCTCAATGTTTTCAACACCACCAATCATATTACCCTTCTGAAGTGTCTGGTGAGCTTGGGCCTTGAGAATACTGTTTGACAGTCATTCTGGTCTTTCTTGTGGAATGCATCTAGAAGGTGATGCTGGAGCACTGATTTTAAACGGTTCATTGACCAATGGGGTTCCTCAGGGCTGAATCTTGTCCACTAAGCTGTTTAACACCTGCATGAAACTACTGGGAGGGGTAGTTTCGAGCTCTGGAATGGGATATCATCTGTATGCCAATGATATCCAGCTGTACTGTTTCCTCCCATCTAATTCCAAAGAATGTTGAATATTCCCTAAACTCAGTAATGTGCTGGATCTAAAACTGGTCCGACTGACTGACTGACTGACTGACTGACTGACTGTCTGTCTGTCTGTCTGTCTGTCTGTCTGTCTGTCTG